GATAGACTTGGTTGCACTGTCCTCCTCACCTAAACTGCCAAGAATCACAGGTCTAATTCTAGCTCCATCTCAACTTCTGGGGTAACCCTGGCCAAGCTCCTCCATATCTCAATTTTCTAATCCTTTCACAGAGAGGATCAAAATGTTGCTTTTTCCTAACAGGTATATTATACTAAAGCAGTAGAGATGAGAGATCAGTGTTTGCAGATGTTATATGAACAGATTATAAAAACAATTCTATACATTTTTTTTCATAATTAGAGTATGTCCTAGACAAAGCTTCATTGCCTCTTTACTTCTTCTACATGGCTACATTTTTATATTAGCGTGAAAACAGAAGTAGGTTCTTCTGATCCACTTCTCTTATTACATCAACATTACTGATGATAGGTTTTTGGTTTTTTTGTAACTGTGCCTAGCCGGAAATCTACTTGTAAGTGGTCACTCGAAAAACGGTGTTTGACTGAATTACTGAGCAAGAAATCACTCCTCACTTAATCTCTGCGTGATAATTTCCTTATAATCAAACTTTTCAGTTCTATTATCTTTCCAGCTGAGCTCTCAAGGATCATCTACAGATAAATGATAAGCATTGGTCTCAAGACAGTCTTTTTTGGAAGTTGATAAGCAATAGTAAAGAACTTTTCAGTTAAAAACTGGATTGGTTTTTAGCTACAGCCTCAACCTTAGACTGTTAATAACGTTACCTCTAGGCCTTATCCCTGCTTACACTTAATTCCTATATAGTCTAATTCTCCCTAGCTGAAATAAAAAACTTGAGAGAAGGATAGAAACAGAATTTCTATTTTATCACACAGAGAAGCTATGATCTTCCATTTCTTAAAGGTTTTCTCTCAGTGTGGTAATATATCATAGAACAAAAGAAAAAAATATATAAAAATGTGGTAAGGTCACATTTTTGACAGATGATGCTAAATTTTTTTTTAAGAAATGCATATCTATAGGACAACTTATTTGTAAAACAAAACGATGAAATCAGAATTTTATACTGCCTTACAACCCACAAATATCTAAATTGTTGTCCAGACTTCCCATTTGGGAAGCTGGGAAATACTTTTAACTGGATACCAATATGAAAACAAAAATAATTTTGTAAGTCAGGGAAGTCTCCCTTGCTTGATTATGTGCCAGGCTATAATACTAACATGATTCCTGGGGGCTATGTTCATATGAAAAAATGACAAACTGTTTAAATTATGTTTTTAGTTCTAGGACTTCAAAATACCAATGTTTTTCTAACCTCTAGATTTACTTCAGACCATTCCACAAACTAGAAAGTACAGGGAAAAAATACGTAATAGCAGGAAAAGAAGTCCTTTCCTGTCACTATTTTCCCAAATCCTGAATATGTGTACCTAGTAAACTTCCCAAAAGCTCCCTTCTGGTGAATACTTCTGGTATCCTCAAGATGTAGTTGCAGATTCCTAGGCCCAACCTCAGCTATACTAAATTAGATTCTGAGGGTGAGCCCTGGCATCTGTATTCCTTAATGTGAACCTGAATTATTCTGAAATATCCCAGCCTGCATGCAAATAAGGACAAAGTTAGATAGACATCAAATAATTACTTGCCCTAATCTAGTACCTTTATTAAAAGAACTAGGCAGTTGCCATCGAATCTTTTATAATATGAAAATTACTACTTCTTAATACTTTCATCTCCACCTGCTTAACAGGATACAAGTCACTGCCAAACCACTCTTGAGTACTGGTCCAGCACTCTTCTCTCCCCATAAAAAAAAAACCATCAAAGAGCCAAAACAAGACCGGATGTCCCATCTACAGAACAATAGTCAGCAATCCCTCCCAAGGGCAAGGCCAAAAATATCCCTTGAGCCAAATTCTTGGTGTAATGTCCCTCCTTATAAGCCCTTTCTGGAGATACGCATTTTTAATGGGTTGCAGCAGTAGTTACCTTGGACAGGGGTTCATCAAATAAACTCACTATCTGCAAACAGAGCAAGGCCTGAGAAAAATGGGCCATACCAGTACCAAGTTTTGACAGAAAACAGGGAAAGTGCAGAAAGCCCTACTGGAACAGACGAGCGCTGAAGGCAGGAATGACAAGACAAAAACTAAATCTGCCTTGTTCACAAATTTGCAGGCCAGAGGGTAAAGCCATTGACAGGATTTTAACTGAAAGATAGGTGGTCCTGAATCATTGAAATCTTTTTCGTTAAGTTCCCACATATCTCTTGTAAGAATATATGATAAAGTATAAGCACTTGCTGAAGGTTTTACTATAAGAGGATGAATGTGTAACATAAGCCAATGCCAAGCTTGATAAATCCTGCAGTCATAAATTGTATGAATAACGAAATACTCTGCACCAGAACACCCAAACCTATGGGAGAATTACATGTACATATTCTTTGTACTTAAAAGGATTACAGATAAAGATAAACATACTTTCCACTATACCATCTCATGTTTGAAGACCCTAAAAAATCCTACAGCTATGCCTTCAAAGGTTATGAAATAAATATCCTGTCTACCTTAAACCTGAAAAGTACTTCAAATCACTAACATCTAATTATTTATTGACTTTAGAGGTTGTAGTTTCTATTCTCCTCGTTAAAGGATGCTAGCTAAATAAAGCTCCAAGAAGTGATTAATACATTAACTAAGATGATGCATTGCCAAACTGTCTCCAACACAGACTCTGAAAATCTGGAAGACAGAAAGGAAAGGATTAGAGATCCACTTTCCTACATGGAAGTTGAAGCATTGCTTCTTTTTTCTTCTCTCTGGGATTTTTCCATTGCCCTCCCAAATGTAACAATTTTGTAAATGTTAACATCTAGAGGAGCATATTCTATGAGAGCAGGAAAAGCAAAATTTTAAGATTTGAGAATGTACTTTAATGCTATAGGAGCAGGTTCACCAAATTAGATAGCCCTAATCATGACTCAACCTTGCTGTAAACACTTTCTTTTCTTTATTTAGGTGAAATTTCACACTGAAATCCTACAGTGAGGCTCCAAGCATTCTACCTAGAACAAAAAATTAGTCTACAAAACAATAAGCTCTGGACTATTCATTTGCAAAGATTTAACTACTTGTATTAAGCATATTTTACACTAAAGTCTCTAAGGTTCCTTTCAGCTCAAATCTTCCTCATTTCTCCAAGTAACTTTACCAGACTATCCTTAGAACTTTAGTAATTAAAAATAGAACCTGAATGAGAAAGAGAATTCAGAATTAAAGTTATCATCATTAAGCCTAATTAAACAGTACAGACAGGAAGATGACAGCAGAATAAAGCATTCTGAATTACGGACAGGGAGAATATAATGAGTGGCTGGCATACTCAATCGACCTCATGAATTGAAGCACAGCATTCAACAAAATCTAGCTGGAGTCTGGAAGGAATACAGCTAAAAATGTCTTAGATAGGAACTGCCCCATACAAACGGAGGTAAACCTTTGGCTTCTATTAATGCTATAATCCAACTACCTGAAGTAACCAACCAACTGCAGAAAAACACCTGTCAATAGAAAGGTGAATTTCCTAGATTTTAGTGATTTTTTCCTTATTAGCAGTTTTCCTATTTTCAATTCTGTCTCAGTCATCTAGTGCTGCTCCAACAGAAATACCACAAGTGGATGGCTGTACAAAGAGAAATTTATTCTCTCACAGTCCAGTAGGCTACAAGTCCAAATTCAGGGCATCAGCTCCAGGGGAACGCTTTCTCCATCGGCTCTGGAGGAAAAGTCCGTATCATCAGTCTTCCTCTGGTCTGGGAGCATCTCTGCGCAGGAACCTCAGGTCCAAAGGAAGCGCTCTGCTCCGGCACTGCTTTCTTGGTGGTATGAGGCTCCCTTGTGTCTCCGCTCACTTTCTCTTTTATATCTCAAAAGGGACTGCATTAAGACTCTAATCTTGTCAACCTCATCAGTATAACCTCATCACAGTGACAGAATTTATAACACATGAGATCACATATAATCTCATCATAGTGGTAGCTTACAACACAGAAGGAAATCACATCAGATACCACAATCATACAATACTGGGAATCATCACCTACCCAAGGTGCTACACACATTTTTTGGGGGGACACAATTCAATCCATAACATATCCTAAAAGGGAATTCATTTCCTCAACTCCGCGAAATGATTAGCTATCTCACCCCCTACCTTGTGACTCCAGCACTTCTATTCCAAACAAAAAGCATCGCTTTAACTAGGGTGGGATTTATTCTCTCCATCAGTAAAGGGCTGTGGCTGTTTGCAGGGCATCGTGCAGGCTCCAACTTCGATTCTCGCCTCAAGGCATATTGTGGTATCACCGTGACGGACCCTTGATATTTAATAAGTCCTCGACTAAAACTGATATTATCGAAGGCCGGTGAAACGAAGCTCGAATGCCCTGCGGAGAGCCTTAGCGACAGGAGAGTGGCAGTGCGGAGAGGCACCTCCTCGGCACCAGACGGGGTGAGAAAGCCTTTCCGCAAGTTTCCTTTCCTTCCACTAGTCCACCAAGCCCCCCACCCCCACCCCGCCCTAGTAGGAAAAGTCACTCCGGCCACTCACTGAAGGACGGGGATACAGCTCCTGGCGCACCAGAGAAGTTGCGTTTGGCAGGGGCCGCGGCTTAACCCTCGCTGCCCAAGAGCCGAGATCGACATCGCCCTCGCCGAGGGCAAAACGGGCTGCTAACTTTCCCGTTGCCCTCTCCTTTGCGCACAGCAGCCCAAACTTTGCCGTTCTTCCGCCACCCCACCCGGCCGCACCCGAACGCCCCCCGACCCCGGGCCGACGGAGGCGCTGAGCTTCAAGGATAGCCCCCGGCCGTGCGCGACCACTGCCCGCTCCCGGAGTCTCCAGCCGCCTCCCACAGCCCCCCTCTGGCGCCCAGAACCCTCGCGGGAAACCGGCAGTGGGGGCGACTGCTGCCCAACCGCGCGTGTCCCGGTGCCCACGACCCTCTGGGCCAGAAAGAGCCCCGGCCACGGCACCTCGTGCCGCCCACTCACCATTGGTAAAGGGCTCCATTTTCCCCCCACCGCGGCTCCTTGCATCCGAACCGCCCAAGCTTCCTACTCCACGAGCTGAAGCGGCCCTACGGACTGAGCATGCCCAGCGCGGCCGCAAAAGGCTGCCGGGGAGGTGCCGCGAAGAGCGACGCCGCTCCGCTATCTTTCCGCTCCGGGTTTTCGCGGCGGCTGCAGAAAGAGAGTGAAGCTTGAGGGAAAAGCGCGGCTCTAACCGCGGCCAACTCCGGGGAAAGGCGCGGGAGGAGGAGGTTAGAGGGGGGCGGGGTCGGGGGCAGGGCCGAGACAAGCCGCGCCCCTGCCCGAAGGACCAGTGGCTCTGCGCTCTCCAGTACCCGGAACTGTGTTCAGTTGCTCAACAAATGTCAGGTTGTCCTGCGTCCGGCCTTGTCCAATGTGCTGGGAGCCCACCATTGCGCCAGAAAAACATGGTCCCTGCCCCGTGGGGCGTACGTTCCAGAGACATACAAGAAACACAGAAGACACGTTAGACTGGAGTAAATGCCCCGCAGAACATTAAATCAGGATGGTGGGATGGAGACTGAGGGGGGTGGCTAATTCGGATGGCGTCGTGAGGAGAGGTCTAGCTGAGGAGATGCCTCTGAAGCCGAGATATGAAGACAGCGGGGGGAGATCGCCCTCCCGACGGCGAAGCTTCCGTTTCCTTGGCGAGACTGGCTCCAGGGAACTCAGTTCTCCAAGGCCCAAGGGAACAGGCGCTACAGGTCTTCTCCGCAGGGCTCCCTGCCTGCGGCAGAATGATCCCTAACGGTCCGTCGTCAGGAGACTGAGGGCGGGTGGGGACTCCCACCGCCCCGAGTGCGCCCGAGTTCCCGTACTTCGCTGGAGGCTCGGGGCGTGGCTTCTCGATACAGTCGAATCACAAAAGGCGGCGCCGGATTAACGGGCCCGGGGCCGCGCGTGCCGCAGGATGTGGGCCGGCTGACCGCCGGAGGGGAACCTTAAATCAACACCTGCGGCTCCCAGGGGTGCGGGGGCTGGGTTCGGCGACTAGGGCGCGCGGAGCTAGGCCCCGGAAGCCGAAACTCCTTTAGTCGCCCAAGCCCCCCGGCACTCGCGCCATTGCTTCCAGCCCTGAGCCATCATTGTTTCCAGTATCAAAATCAAGGTAGCCCCGGCGAGCCTCTGAGACCGAACCGCTAGGGGCCGTGTCGGGCCGAGGAAGGCTCAGCGGGGCCACTTCCTCGTCCCTTGCTCTATGCGCTTCGCTGCTACCCTCGCGGCGGAGGCCGCCGTCCTACTAGCGCGCTGCCGCTGCCGTCTCCCCCTCCCCCCTTCCAAATCCCCGGCTTCTGCAGCGACTTGTCTCCTGCGCGGGTCTGAGCCTGCCAACTGCCACACGCTCCTCTGAGGCTGTCAACAAGAGGGCGTCGGGTGCAAACAAGACCGCAGCGAGCGCACGGCCTGGGCAAACAGGCACGACCTGGGTGTCGTTTGACCCGCTCAGGAGCTAGAAATTATAAAGAAGTAAAATCGTAGTACATAGGGGGTTCGTTTTCTTTTTTGTAATACATAGCGTTTTTGCAATATTGTATTTTAAAATGTACTACCACCTCTCAAAAACCTTCAATGGATACCAGTTGTGCATAGAATAAAATCTAAACTCTTTACCTAACTCTGGGACCTCATCTCCTATTCCTTGCTCACCATGCTGTTACCACAGGCCTCAATGCCTCATGCCTTTTCTGGAAATCGTCAAGTTCCCTCCAACATCGTTAGCCATTCCTTTTGCATGTGCCTCATGCGTGGACTGTTCTTTTCTGCCTGGTACTTGGCCTGCTGGTTCCTTCCTGCTATTTAGATCTCAGCTCAAGCTCAAATGTCACCTCTACACAGAGCTCTTCCCTGACCACACAATCTAAAATAGTCACAAACACGGTCCACTCAATATAGACTTGCCCTGCTTTATTTTCTTCACAGCACCCATCGCTGTCAAACAATGTTTCTTATTTGTTGTTTAATTATTATTTATCTCCCCCGCAAGAATGCAAGTTCCAGGAGAGCAGAGTCATTAACTTTTTTAGAGCTGTATCCCAGTGCCTAGTTAAGCATGCAATAAATAATTGTTCAATGAATACGTGCAGTGGTATTTAGAGTTCAGGTTCACTTCCGTTCCAGAGAAAGTCTCAATGTTGAACGATGTGTTTGTGATTAGTACAGAGAAAGTGTTTATGTGGTATGATCCCTCAAAACTGCTCTCTCCTCCACTGCCTTAAGAGCCCTTTAGGGTTACTCCGTGTAGGGTACTTCAGAGCAATAAATAGGAAGTGAACCACCGGGACTGCTGCATCTGTGTTCCAACATGATATAGAGTATGCAGGGAGGAATTTTGTTAAGTGACCCCACGCATTCTATTGCTTAGATAAGAGACTCTTTACATTTTAGGTCATGTTCCTTTGGGGTTATTTTTGCAGCCAAAACACTTAATATCAGAGATATTTAAAACTCCACAGCTTTTTGAGTCACCTCACCTGTAAGCTACAGTCTATCATGCTTTTAGGTGTGATGCACGTTACCTTGTTTTGTCTTAAATGCCTCAACTCTGCAGAGACTTGTAATATTTTTGCACTAGCAAGTAAGTAAATTGTGTCTTTCTGAGATTTCTTTGACAAAGAGACAAATAATTATCTTTTCTTTGCCAACCTCGTCATCAGACCCCTGTCATTCCTAACGTGCATTGGAGCACACACACTCACCCACCCACCCACACACACACACATTAAGGGCTATCTAAAGACTTGTGGTTTTGTATTAGAGATAAAAAGAATAAAAACCAAAATCATTCAGAATCCTAGCTAGCCTCAAAAGAACAAAAATGAATTTTATTATTTTTGTTCATTTTGTAATACTATTTTACGTATGACTTCATAAAGCCTTTCTGAAGGAACATGATTTCACAAATTTGCTGCTAAAACCCATTATGTTTCTATCTTAACCTCCTCCTGTCCTCCCACACAGAATTTCCTCTTTAGTTTAAGCATCTAACACTTTAAATTATTATGACTTTACTATTAATTACCGGCAGAGATAGTGTGAATTATTTACTATACCCATCTACTATTTTCAGAATCAGTCTACCGTTTACAATTTGAAAACCAAAATTTTCGGAGGCTAATTATAATATATGATAAATAGTATGAAAGGAAACTTATGAGCACCCTGAATAACAAACAGCATTCATTTATGAAGAACCAACAAACTTGCTGATCAACGAATGTAGGAATCTTTGTGTTGAAATAAAGCACTTGGTCTGTTGTAGATCACCTAATCCAAGCGTCACATTTAGGAGATGAGGGAACTGAAGTCTAGAGAGGTTAGAAGATTTACTCACAGTCCAGCAGCAGATACGGAATTCAGGTCATCTGTGTTCTAAACCAGTACTCTGGAGTTTGCTGTTGCTTGCTTATTTTCACAGAGAAATTAAGGTCAGTGACAATCTATGAAAGAGACATGGGATAAAGAGAAATACAGCTAACTTCAGGCTACTATTCCATTCCGTATCAACTTTGAGTTTAACATTATTAAATATTCTTTCTAATTATTCTGAAATGAGCAATAAAATACATTAATTGCACGTACACTTTTGAAAATGATAATATTTGTTCAGCACTCTTGAGTGAATGGAGAAAGCTTCAGCTAGGCTTGGGATGATCATCACCAAGATGGTTCCAGCCACCCCAGACCCTACTTAGCCACTGCAAAGACCAAAGAAGTCAATATCTCATCACTTCAGTAACCTGTTCTGAGCACACACACTCTGTGTTACTTAGTAACATTTAAAGTTATACCAAATTAAAAAATATTTAGAGCACTAAGGAAAGCAAAATAAGTATCCAACAGACTTACAGAGCCTAGGCATAAGCAAAAAAACTCAGTCAAGTGAAGTGTAAAGGTTATTATTAGGAAGGAATAATTACGTACTAGTTCAGATGTTTTGTATTATAAAAACCAAAACCCTGAATCAAACTAGTTTAAACAATGTGGAAATGTATTATCTCATATAATAACAAGTCCAGAGACAAGACAATCTCCAGTCACAGCTACACAACCTAATCAAGAACCCAACTTTTTACTCTCTCTGCAGTGATCCTCGGTGTGAGCACTTTTCCAAGACACCAAAGGTTGCTGCAGCAGGGAAGAAACAGCAAGGAAACTTTCCTCAGGAATCCGCCATTAGGAATCCTCGCAAATCTCATTTGCCAAAACTATATCATACATTTCTAAACCAACCTCTGGAAATGAAAGTGATTTACTTCTTAGACAAAGCAGAGTTTCCGAATGCTGAAGGTTAAGATCGCCTCCCGTGTTTCATGTGGGGGAGGAAGGGTACTTAAACAAAATCATTTTTCTTATTCAGAAGGCAGAAGGGGGGTTAAACAACCAAAACGTTAGGCAAGTAATCTACACGCCCACGCCCACAAAAAATTATTAACACATGTATTTTAATAATCTTTTTATCGTGGTAAAAAGATATATCACAAAACGTTTGCCATTTCAACGTTTTTTACATGTACAATTCAGTGACATTAATTACGTTCATCATGTTGTGCAACCATCACCACTAATGATAACTTTAAAAAATCTGGTGCAGCAAAAGCAAAGATAGAGCCCATTAAATTCAATATAATTTTCATATAATTGATTAATATAGCTAGGATTCTAACACAAGAAATCGTATATTATTAAACCTTGAATTCTGATCTGAAAGTAACTATTAAAATTGAAAAAAAAATAACTAAACTAAATTTAGTCTTGGATATTTTTCTAATAAAAATAAGTATCAAGAAAGATTTTGTTTCAAAGGATACATCAAGAGAGTGAAAAGACAACCCATAGAATGGGAGAAAATATTTGTAAATCATATATAATAAAAAGATGAAAAACCCAATTAAAAAGTGGACAAAGGATCTGAACAGACACTTCTCCAAAGATATGCAAATAGCCAAAAAGCACATGAAAAAACATTCAATGTCATTAGCCATCAGGGAAATGCAAATCAAAACCACAATGAGATACTTCTACACATACACTAGGAGACAGAAAACAAATGTTGGTGAGGATGGGGAGAAATTGGAACCCAAATACACTGCTGGTAGGAATGTAAAACGGTACAGCAGCTTTGGAAAACAGTGTGTCAGTTACCATACCCAACCCAACCTATTGCTGTTGAGTCAATTTCAAGTCATAGAGATCCTACAGGACAAAGTAAATCTTTACGGAAGCAGACTGCCACATGTTTCACCCTCAGAGTGGCTGGTGGGTTTGAGCCGCCAACCTTTAGGTTAGCAGCAGAGCACTTAACCACCGCACCACCAGGGCTCCTTAGAGTTACCATATTTTTGTTGTTAGGTGCCATCAAGTCAGTTCCGACTCATAGAGACCCTATGTACAACGGAACAAAACACTGCCCCATGCTGAGCCATCCTCATATGACCCAGCAATTCCACTCCTAGGTATACATCCAAAAGAAATGAAAACATATATCCA